CCGAGAAATGGCTCCTGTATGTGTTTGACAAATGTTCGCGGTGTTTGATTCTCTGATCTGTTGAAGAATAAACAACTTTGTAAAGTCCTTTGAGATGACTACAGTTGTGATTTAGGGATATACAAATCGTCTACTATGTTAGATATTTTGGCATCAATATCAAAACTTTCCTTGACGTGTATTGTCTCAACTTTTAAAAAGCCCAAACCCCATCAGAATCCATCCAACTTTAGCAGTCTTATAGAAACCCTTCCGTCAGTGTGTAGTGAGACATTCAGAGTCCCAGCAGAGCGTACAGTGCTCAGATGGGAGCACTAGATCACATTTTGACGCACCTCCCTGCTGTTACGCTCCACTCTGTGTGACTGTTTGTTGTTCTCTAACCTGTATGTATTTTTTACAGCCATTTCTCCCACATTTACCCTCTAGACATCCTCACTGAGTTTGTTGTCTGAAGCCCATTATTGCTCAAGTCTATTTGTCTTTTGTCAGATTGTCTGCCTTGCTTTCTTGTTGTTTTTGTTCAAGACTTTTATGATCCCCCAATAGTTATTTACAAACTGCACCTCAAAGCCGTCTATCTACTTGCCCGAGCTTCCCAGCACTCACACAACAATTGTTTTAGAACTTATATTAGACATTTACTGAATAGCTTGAATAGCTTGGAGCTATAGGACAAAAACTGTTATGAAGAAATTGTGCTTTTTTTCACTGATACTGAATCATAAGATAAGATAGGCTGTATTGATCTCACACTGGGGATCATTTTAGAGATCATTAGTTATTTTTGAAGGACAATTTTGATTTAAAAGAGTAATATAACTACCACTGCAAGATTCCAGGAATGATATATCGTACCATCCATCCATTTTCTTCCCCTTAAACCATTTCTGGGTCGGGGGAGGCTGTCAGAGCTGCAGCCAATTCACATAGCACCAGCCCCTCACTGATCCTCCTGCAGGTGGCGAGTCCACCAATGTTTCACCTTTTTTGTATTAAACTCAAAGGTAAGGTATATTTTGTAGCCAGGATGGCAACACCTCGTGCCTCCGCTCAGTTCCATTTCACTCCTGTTACTTGGTCAGGTATTGCAGAAACGCGGACGGCTGGAAGTACAATCGGTCCATCCTCACCTGTTTTTAGTTCATAATACAGTTCCAATACAGCACATATTGTATATGTACTGTAGGAACTGTTGATGGTGAATCAACAGCTTTGTAAAGTCCTCAGATAACTAGGGCTAAACAAAAAACATTTAACAGCAAACATACAATAGGAGTGCATACAGGGATTAAAGCAGCAGTAAGCGATTTGGTCGTTTCCGGCAGTTTCTTCTGCCTGAGCGAGTTATTAGCCCCGCCCCCGTCCCTACGTCACACCACATGAACGCGCAGCAGCAGTAGGTGATGGCAGCAGCATGTTCATCTCCGTCAGGTCTACTCGTAAGTATATTAACAACTCTGGGAGTGAAATATTAGCATAGAATAGCTCAGTTGTAACCTAGCTATAACACTGGAAGCAGCTTGGTGTTAGCTAGGATAGCATCACTAAGAAAGAGATAAAAACAATCCAGTCTTTTATAGAATAATACTGCTTTTATAGTTGGTACACTGATAACTGTTGTGATAAACATAATGTTGCAGATTGCAGTGTGACGTGTCTCAACATTATGCACAGATGTTAATCTGTTACAGTGCATATGTATTAGATGAATGTAATGCATATACATAACAACAAAGCTTTACATGAAGGTTATTTAAAGTAATACATTACTGCTACTTATTTCCTCACAATTTGTATATTTGGAGTTCTTCATAGACAACACTGTAGTAATGTATTATGTGAAAGTAAAGCTGCATCTCACTGGAAGCTGCCTTCTCCATGTCACAAAATAAAGATACATTTATTGATGTAATCAACATCTGTATTATGTGCTTATTGTTCAGAGAATGAAGACAAAATCAAAGTGTATCAGAGCTGTACAGTGAGATGTGGGACTGAAAAACAATTCCAGTAAAGCTTGTCCGAAACGCAAAAGTACTGTCATAACTAATTACGTTACACTATTACACTGTAAGGAAACTCACCACTTTGAAAGAAAAGCTACAAGTAACAGAATATATAAAGTCATTTGTCATAACGGTTCTTTCAGGAAGCACTGAACGCCCTCTGTCCAGAGAAGCTGATGACCAGATCCTTTCCCTGATGCGTCTGTCTACGTCCTCAGCGGCCCCCATGGTGCACGTTCTCAGCGGCCCCATGGTGTCACGTCCTCAGCGGCCCCATGGTGCACCGTCCCTCAGCGGCCCCCATGGTGCACGTCCTCAGGGGCCCCCATGGTGCACGTCCTCAGTGCCCCCCATGGTGTCACGTTCCTCAGCGTCCCCCATGGTGCAACGTCCTCCAAGCGTCCCCCATGGTGCCACGTCCTCAGCGGCCCCCATGGTGCACGTCCCTCAGCGGCCCCAATGGTGCAACGTCCTCAGTGGCCCCACCATGGTGCACGTCCTCAGTGGCCCCCCATGGTGCACGTCCTCAGTGGCCCCCCTATGGGTAGCACGTCCGCAGCGGCCCCCATGGTGCTCGTCATCAGCGGCCCCCATGGTGCACGTCCTCAGCCGCCCCCATGGTGCTCGTCCTCAGCGGCCCCCATGGTGCACCGTCCTCCAGTGATCCCCCATGGTGCACGTCCTCTGCGGCCACCATGGTGCACGTCCTCCAGTGGGCCTCCCCATGGTGCACGTCCACTAAGCGGCCCCCATGGTGCACGTCCTCAGTGGCCCCCCATGGTGCACGTCCCTCAGTGGCCCCCCATGGTCCTCAGCGGCCCCCATGGTGCACGTCCTCAGCGGCCCCCATGGTGCACACGTCCACTCTGCAGTTCTGAAATATGTTTGTAGTTGTACTATTTCAAAATAAAAAAAAATACATTCACCTCTTTCAATGTGCTTTGTTTTATAGTAGGAAAACAAATACAGTCTGTAACGAGTCTAAGAAACTTTATTATGTAAAAGAAGATTTGAAGTTATAGCCGGAAAAATATACACAATGTCCCTACTAAGACAAATAATTACAAGTGATGGTAAGGCAACGTTTGTGTTATCACTTTTTGCTCAAATGAATAACAATGGGCCTCATTCACGAACGGTTCTTAGGAACAGATTTGTACGTAAATCCTATTTACGCGGTTTTTACGAAGAAAGTGGCATTCACGAATATTTCTCGTAACCAGAATTTGTCTTGGGCAAGTACAAATCCTACGAGTCCTCAGGAGCACTCGTACGCATTCAGTGCCGACATGTTCACACGCCGGGGTTGTCCTCTTTGGTGAAGTTGAATAAAAATACAACATTCCAGTGATATGTCCGTCATATCGATGTATGTATTTATTTATTTGTAGTAATCTTTATTAGTAATCTTTATTTATATACCGCCTTTTTCACTGCAGATCTGGCCTACTTTTTAATTCATTTTGAAATGAAATGTGCCAACGCTTTATCAAATACATTAGAAATCTTGCCGTGTATTAGTGACCCCTTCCTATTTATAGGGGGCATTTCTTTATTCACGGGCCACAGAACAACGGCATATATACTGCTGCTGCAGGAGGTTACTGGGTCCGCGCTGAGTCTCTGCGCTGGTCTCTCCTATGGATCTATACGGGTCTGCACTGGTCTCTCCCATGGATCTATACGGGTCTGCGCTGGTCTCTCCCATGGATCTATACGGGTCTGCACTGGTCTCTCCATACGGGTCCGTGCTGCATGCTCCTGGATCCTACGGGTCCGCGCTGGTCTCTCAAGTCTGGTCTATGCGGTCTCTCTTCGGTCCGCGCTGGTCTCTGCGCACCGGTCTCTCCAGTCAGGTCACTACAGTCTATGCGGTCTCTCCTCTAGGTCCGCGCTGGTTTCTGTGTGCTGGTCACTCCAGTCTCTCCTCGGGTCTGCATTGGTCTCAGCGCTGGTCCGCGCTGGATCTCCTCCCAGGGTCCAAAATATTTTGAGATTAATCTCAAAACATTTTGAGATTCATCTTTAAAATAATACATAATATATTTTTAAATTAAGATCATAACATTTTGAGATTAATCTCATCATATTCTTAGATTAATCTCATAATTTTGCTAGTTCGACTTTATTATCATAATATTTCGACTTTTAAGTCAACATTTTATAACTTTATTCTCAGTCTGGCAAAAGCCTGCTTTAGGCCTGTTGCTGTTTCCTCTGGCGTCTGCACACGGCCCTGCAGTCCCTTATATGGGCATTAATGGGCGGTTACTTATGCTAAGTACCTATGCTAATGAAGCACCTGGCACGCGCGCTGTACTTACGAGGAAATGGGATTCATCAATCTGAGAGAACAGCTGCGAACAATTCAGCGGCTTACGAGTGCGTTGATGAATCCCACGTGGGGACTTCCTAGAAATCTACTTAAGGACAACTTGAGAAGAAAGTTGAGTAGTTTCTTACGTAGTTATTCGTGAATGAGGCCCACTGTTATTATCCAGGTCCTTATCCATCGCTGCTGCAGCGAACACTATCAGAGATATCTAACAAAATGTTAATCTTTATGTTGTAGCTTGTTTGAACACATTTCCTCAAAATAATTCATAAGCAGCCACGCACACACAGTCACAAGCACACACAGTCACACACAGTCACAAGCACACACAGTCACACACAGTCACACACAGTCACAAGCACACACAGTCACAAGCACACACAGCCACAAGCACACACAGTCACACACAGTCACACACAGTCACAAGCACACACAGTCACAAGCACACACAGTCACACACAGTCACAAGCACACACAGTCACAAGCACACACAGTCACACACAGTCACAAGCACACACAGCCACACGCACAGACAGCCACAAGCACACACAGCCACAAGCACACACAGCCACACGCACACACAGCCACAAGCACACACAGCCACACGCACACACAGCCACAAGCACACACAGCCACAAGCACACACAGTCACACAGTCACACGCACACACAGCCACGCTTCAGGGGCCCAGGTTGAAGGAACTGGAGTCTTCCTCTGGCAGAGATTTTCCTTTGAAACATAATAGAAGAGACATCAGTTTTATCTACTCAAATATGACTTTGATATATTCATCATCAACAACATCAGTATTTATTGATCACCAGGAGTGGACCCAGATCCACAGGATCCTTGAACATGTTTATTTGGACTGTGAGAGACCGTGCATTGTGAGAGAAAGACACTTACATCGGCTGTTTTGGGAGTCGAGTGATTATCTCACTCCTCTTGATTGTTGAAGAAACTCAGCGACAGTTTTGTCAACACTGACTCCTGGAACATGATCGATATTCATTTTGGACCTCAGGGCAGCAACACAACTGTAGGGATGAACGACACACACATCACAACATCATTATCATAATCACTGCGTCCCATATATGCATTCACAACAACCTACATGACAAATGTGGGGTGTAAAGTCTTCCTCAGGAGATGACAATGGCCATTCTTCTAATTCTGGAAGCAAAGTCTTGTCTTCCCAGTCAATACTAGAGAAAGAAGAGGTCAGCAGAAAAGTATCTAGTCGTTATGGCATTGTTTTTTTTTTTATAGTTATTTAACTTGCATTATGGAGGCTGTTGAACTCTTGTACATTGAAGACCTCATTCCAATTGATTTAGGCCATACTGGAAAAGATACAGAGAAAAGAATGCAATGAAGACATGTAAATTATTACAATGTCTATATTATATCATGCTCATAATTTATTTGGTAGTAGTCAGCAAGACTTTTGCGGCCCCTCCCTGCCTGACAGGGGCGTTTCCCTCTCAGGCAGGGTGGATCCAGTGATTGGGGCACCTGTGCTTAAATGTGTGTGTGTCACTAACACTCTGTCTCTGCTCTGCTCCCTCCAGGTACGGGATCGTTGGTTCTTTGTTTCGTCATTCGTTATTTGTTAATATTAGCTTTGGTTTCACACTCAGACATACGCACACATACACTGGTTTTCATTCACTGACTTGCACACACTGCACACATTCCACTGCTCATATACTCACACCTCATTCTTGTTGATTATTATCCTTTGTTCATCGTTTTCATTATTTACAATAAATATGTCAAATGACCCTACCTGTCTGTCCCTCATTTTGACACAAGCATAGAGCCAGCTCGTGACATTACTTATTCTCAATACATAATAATAAAAATGTATGTAGTGGTCACGGAAGTTAGATTTGAGGTAAAGAGATATTGTTTTTATAACAATAAAACTAATATACAGAGTGCAAGTTGCAAAACTTAGTCATTGAAGAATGAAATGCAGACCTACATATATATATATATAGTGCAAGCAACTATGTTTATTGGCAAAAACAAACGATTCATACAGATCAGAAGTGATCGTAGCAGCCACACCATATTCACAACTACAGACAGCTAATGCTAACAGCGAACGCTAATGCTAACAGCGAACGCTAATGCTAACAGCGAACGCTAATGCTAACAGCTAACGCTAATGCTAACAGCGAACGCTAATGCTAACAGCTAACGCTAATGCTAACAGCGAACGCTAATGCTAACAGCGAACGCTAATGCTAACACCACTTCACGGGGGAACTCTGGTGATATGGTCATTTAATTTTGTACATGTGGGGAACTTATAATTGACCGGAGTTTATGGATGACTAAGGCTGGGCTAAGGCTTCGATGTTGTGTTGTCTGTTGTTGTTTCTCAAAGCTAAGCCAAGGTAATGCGCAGTTATTGCCACAAAATGCGGCCGTATTTCTACAACAGCTGGGGATTTTTAACTAGCTAACTTGGTGAAAACCCGCATTACAGTCTCAGGCAACAATATGTATAAATAATACAACTACTACTGCCACTACTGAGTAACATGCTCACCTGTTCAGTCGGAGAGAGGAATCCACGGAGCTAGAGGTCGCCAACATGAGTGCAGCTGGTCACCATGTTGCTCCTACTTTTTGTCGTTCCTCTGTTTCTGGCGTTTTGCCTGTATTTAATAAATCCATTGTATTTAGTCTGCAGCAGCGCTGGAGGCGGCTTTTCCTTCTCCGCCATGTTTGTTTTGAAGAGTGCGCGTGCACACACGGGAGAAACCCCTTATAAGGCGTGCTCTCTCGTCATTGGATAAGCGCATAGGATGTGAGGTTTTTTTATTAAATATGTGGGAGAAGACTGGAAGGACTGAGAGATCCGTGTTTAGGTACAAACACTCTATATAAGTGATGGCTATTGGAATATATCAATATTTAAGACGTATATTAACACCCAAAAATCGCTTACTGCTGCTTTAAGTATGTAGAATAAACGTAAAGGGGTGAGGATCAATGAAAAACAAACAGGAAAGGGTCTGAGCCACTCTGACTTAAAATAACAATATTTTTGCGGGAAAATTTTTTCTATACTTTTAATATTGTGTGTGATGTTTTTACTATGCTGTACAACGTTCGTGGGTGTCTGGAAAGGCGCCATGAAATAAAATGAATGATTATTTATCATCAAAGTCAAAACATTCAAATTGAAATAATACATCGGCTACCAACTGCTAACCATTAAAAAGAATTGGAAGAAAAAAACAAAAAACAAATTAGCTCCATAAACTTGACCATTCTAAGTAAACAAACACCAAACAGATCAGAACTATCAGCCGATGTCACAGCACATTTTGAGAACAGTGGTCAGATCCGCTTGACTGATGCTCTGCGCTCCGTGTGTTGTGCTCTCTGCTGTGCTGTGCTGCTGCTAACGAAGTGGCTCTGCCGGGCCTCACCTCAGGCTCCCCCCTGTAATTATTCCCACAATGCCACATGCTGCTGAGATGGGTGTCCGTTACAGCCTGTGCCAAGCTTCCCAAAAACAACAACTGTGGGGCCATTATTTGTCAATCAAACCTGGGCCGATACAAAAAGCTGTCTGCTCCATCCTGAGTCCTAGTTATCATCATTGAAAACTGTCACGCCAAAGAGCATTTCTATTGATTCTCCACATTGTTTTTATTTTGTTTTTCCCCCTGTCATTTCCCCTGATCCCTGGTTTGCTTCGGTTGCTCGGCTTTGAAGAGTACAAGTGTTTTAGTAAAGAACAACATTGCCGGCAGTTGGCACCGTGAACACCATAGAGTCTTAAGTTTTTTATTTTATGTACATTACACAGAAATACCCACGGGTACAACAGCTTAAATATTAATACTACCCATAGGGATTCAATAAGTAGCGCGTGTATGAGTGTCGCCAGTATACCGAATGTCACAACAACTAAAGAGAGCTCTCACGTCAGACTAAAACTTAACCAATTTGTCTTGGGTAAATCTATAAATGAGGACACTTTCTAACTAACTTCTAAATAGATATCCACAAATGAAATAAGGAAATGAAAAAAACAGGGGTGACAATATTACTTTTCATGTTGTTGCATGTAACTAGTATGATCTTGTTAAAATATAATTCAAATAGTTAATTAAAAATGTATTACAATGCATGTGTTCTTTTAAAGTTAAACAGTTGTAACAGCGTCCTCACTAGGCTCTCTCTCCAGATGAGTATAGTAGAGAGAGAGCTGCACTGCAACTCAAGTCGTACCAGGAAGTACATCACATTAGTTCAGTTCTCAGGTCTCCGCACTATGGATCTACTGTATAATAATAACTGAATTACTAGCTTGTCGCTGATGCACCTACAGGCCCTGAGCCTGTAGGTGCATCAGCTTATTGGTACTGCAGAATAAATGGGACTAAATTCCTGTGGGTAATCAAGACATTTTCCCCATAGAACTCAATGTAAACTAAAACAGTTCGTCCTCAGATGACTGAGAACCTACAGCTTTCATAAAGGTCAGATTCTGTGGGGATTTCAGTGTCCCTTGTCATCAACTTGTTTTCCATCGGGTTTCTATAAATCCACACATTTTAATGCAACAAACTCTGCTCGTTTTCCTCCCGCTCTGATCAGCAGCGCTAGATTGGTAGGAACGCTTCCGTGTTTCTCGGTGCACTTTCATGAGAGCCACACACGACACACAAGTAACACAGGAGCTTATCAACTCCGCAAAACCGGGAGGACCAGAGAACTCAGCTAATTTTTCGGTGACTATGCTCGCTTAAGCACAAGCGATTGATTCTAATATACCGCCATCTTTGATCGCCGGGGCTTGCTCTGCACTGACTTCCTGTGGCTCAGAGAATAGACTTTAAAGCACCCTGTGTACAAGTCTCTCTCCGTGGCCTTGCCCCAAAGTACATATTAATGCCATAAGAACCAACTTGGACTCCGAGGAGCACAGGCACTGGCCTCCTGCAGTGCCCAGAGTCCGGACTGAACATGGGGAGGCAGTCTTTCTGATTAATGCAGCAAACATATGAAACATCCTTCCTGAATCAGTTTTATGCACAGCTAAAACTGAAGGACTGTACCTCAACCCTTCATCTGTGTTGATAGTCTGTACCCCCTGCTTCTTGATTGCAATCCCCTCTCGAATCCATTTTTTTTCTTTTGTAGTTACGTTCCTCAGTCACAACTTCCTGTAACGACTGAGTGCACTGTTCTGCGATAAAAACACATGCCAATTATTTTCATCGCTCTACATCTTCACCTATATTTAACATGTAACATAGAATGGCACCTCCCCTGTTGGGCTGTGATTCATCTCGGCCGCCTGTTCAGTCTTCCGTCATGTGCAGAAGCAGACGTGAGTGTGAGAGGGACGCAGGGGGAGGTCAGCGCTCCAGATGCACACAGACGCTGGCATAACTTTTACTAATGTGCTACTTATGCATGAACACTTTCTCCTTCAAGACTTCGGCTGAGGGAGTAAATATAGAAGCACCAAGTTAATATCAGATTAATTAACTTTTTTCTTATCTTATTCAACGGCAAATCAATATGGCACCACAGATTGCCTAATTTGTTCATCTCTCCTGTATCTAATTTATCTGGTGTTCTGCTCTGTGTTTTAATTTGGCAGTTGGAAAAGTGAATATTTTGTTTTTCTTTTCCTTCTTTTTATTTGGAATTAATACAGAAATACGCATATAGTCATGTGTTATTGACTTATCAAGCTCTTTCAACATGTTAAACCATCATTCAATCGTCAACACCCCTAACCATATTTGGTTTTATCCACAATAATATGAATAATAATAATAATACGTTCTCATAAATAGTGACATAGAGTCGAGTGTGATTTACTCCTGTTTTAAAAAAACAAATTTCTTCAAAATAATGATCATGTATGCACTCAATTCATCACTATGTTCAAGCATGGCTCACTAATTGGCTGTTGTAGAAATCTGACTTGTATAGCTGTCAAATGAATGAACTTTAAACACTCCGAAGGGTAAGTTATTCATTTTTTTTTCTTGATTCAAATACAATCAATCAATCCATTTTATTTATAGAGCTCTTTACAACACTCAAGGCGACCAAAGTGCTTTACAATAAAATCACATAAAATCCATTCACATATGGACATTTATCAGCATGTGTTCTATATTCTTTTTTGTATCTTAACTGTTGAATCTCTGATCAGTGTTGGTGATTTCAATGGTTTTGTAAGTCCTCTGAGATAACTACTGTACTGTATTTAGGGCTAAACAAGAATAAATTGTATTGTAATGTATTCAAACATGCACTCAAGCAATGAAACAGTTAAAAAAGCATTTGAAAAAGTGTCAACGCGCTAATTAGTGTTAAAAGTGTTAAATGCCAGTCTGAATAAACACGTCTTGAGCCACGATTTTAAAAGGCCACGCATGAGGGGGGAAAAGCTTGTTCCAGAGTCTGGGTCCAGCGACTGAGAAGAACCGGTCACTCCAGTGTTTGGACCTGAACCCGGGTACTTTCAGGAGATGATGCGTTGAGTGATTCAATTCAATTTATTCTTGTATAGCCCTAAATCACAACCGTTGAAATCGCCAACACAGATCAGAGAATCAAACACAAAGAATGTTAGTGTCCTAGATCATTGCATCACATGTGTTTAAACTGTTTTATTCTCCGATCTGTGTTGGCGAATTAAGTCTTTTGAGATAATTACTGTTGTGATGTAGGGCTATACAAAAAAATAAATTGTATTGAAGTGAAGTGAGAAGATGTGTGAGGTCTGTGTATACATCCTCTGCCCCTTCACTGCTAAATGAAGCAAACAATTTGACAGTATGAATATGTAATCCTGTCATGCTGGAGTTACAGAAATGTTGATTTATTAGAATTAGTAAAGCTATTGTTCACTTACATTGTGCTGTGTGATCCTCAGTGCTACTGTTCTATAACTTGTGATGCAACACTGAAATTTACCCATTGTGGGATGAATAAATTATCCCTCAATGGAGAAAAGAAGGCTGTTACAGTCATTGTCGAGCCAATGAAGGAAGAAGTTTGCAAGCACTGTTGTTTGCGCCTTTATACATTTGAAAGTTTATGCGCCTTATGCATTGGGGGCTCTCTGGGCTACAGCACTACATTACTACGTCAAAACTTGAGGAGAGGAACTAGAAGTAAACTTTGGCTATAACTCTTTTATATGCAGCCGGGGTAAGAGAATTTCCCAAACCCACCACTGTCACCAGTCACCATTTCTCTGACGCAATCCTCGTGCAACCAGCAAGCGGCAACCAACTGACACAGGAAATGACATCACCGCTGTTGGCATCGGCCCATTACTACCGTGTTGCCAAATGCATTGTTTGAAAGAGTGCTTGTAGATCGACACCAGGGACTCAAACCAAAATTGGCCCATCTTAATCAAAGCGATCCATTCAGAGCTGCGTAATGTTGTCACAGCTGCCCGTTCTACAGAAATAATCTTTGTTTGAGAAGACTGAACAAATTTTATAACCACATAGGCCTCATCGCTTTGGTTAGAGCAAAATATGAACTGCAAATGTTGAGTTTTGATTCACCGGTCTGCAAGTAACAAGTGACATTCTTCTGCC